GAAAATTCGATTGCTTTAGTTTGAAATTAAAATTTTATGAATTTGTAATAAGGTAACCTAACAAATTGGAATATAAAATATATGTATAACATGATTAATAAAACATTTATACTTCAACCAATAAAAAAAAAATTTATAGCTATAAAATTAAGACCCTAAAATTAAATTATAAAGTTAGGAATTTGAAAATAAAATCTAATAAATTTTGGATATTACCATCTTTGTCAGTTATAAATATTTGGTTATGATTAATCAAAAAAAAATTACACCTATTAAATTTTCAAAATATAATAGCAGATGTTATGCTTAATAATTGGTAGTCTCTATTAACTACCAGAAAGATTTCCAAATATTTTATTTTTATTCCAAAACAACAACATGATTTCTGTATAAAGCTGAGAAATCATTTTAACTAATTATTTTAGAGAAATTTCAAAAAATGCCACTTTTCAAGTGCCACTTTACAAAAATGCCATACTTTGAAATCTTTACAAAAATGCCACTTTTTCAAAATTATTTTTTCTTTATATTATTTATGTTTGGGTTAATTATGTTCTATTAAGGTTTAGTTATGAGGGTTTAGAGGGGTTTAGGGGTCAAAATATTTTTTAGTGTTTTTAGAATTTTAAGATATAGGGTTTAAAAATCTATAATTAGTGGCATTTTTGCAAATGTGCACATAAAAAATGGCAGTTTTGCAATTTCCCCATTATTTTAACACATTCGAATATACACAAACATATCTCTAACTCTATATAATAATTTTTGCAAAAAGTACAATTGACATTTTAACTAAAACTATAATCATTTTGCTCCATAATCATTTTACTCGCGCATAGCGCGGGTACTAACATAGCTTACTTTAAACCTATAAAATTCAATTCATATTTATAATATTTTATTTTGTATATTTGATCTATAACCACATTTTTGAAGATTATGATATTAAATAAATACATTTCATTAATAAGTGATATATGGGTGGGATACATTTCTATACAAAATAATTGCAAAATTCATATACATAAAAGAGTTTTACATTTCGTATAATAATTTTTCCAATAACTATAGATGATTTTTAAACTAAAACTATATTAGTTTTAGTCGCGTATCACATTATCCCGCGTAACTATCTAGTTTTTGTAAAAAGGGACCAAAGAATGTGGTTCTGTGGTGGTGACTTGTGACCCCCACTCAGACCAACAACTTTGTCAGTGCAAGAATAATCTTTAATGGATTCTTCGTGGAGAGAAAGCTTGAAGGCACAGATTTGCGTGAAGATTGTCATGTTCTAGAGAAACTTAAAGATGGGTTCCATTGATGAAGAAGAAAGCTCACTCCTTGAAGTTGAACAATCACTTTTACAGGTTCGACCTCTTGATTTTTTTTTTTTTTGTAATTTTGTTTGAACTCCAATTGTTTCGTAGTCTATTCTTGGCCTAAATCTTTGTTTGAACACAAATAATCTGCTCAAGAAAAGTTAAAAACTTGTAAGTTCGAGACAAATTCTGTTTGAGATATGTCTCTGTTTGACAAATGTCTGAATTTTGTTATAACCAGGAAGTGAAACTGTATACTGAAGATGGCTCAGTAGACATTAATGGAAACCCACCATTGAAGGAGAAAACAGGAAACTGGAAAGCTTGTCCATTCATTTTTGGTATAAACAGAAAACACTTTACATATTTCAATTTTAATACTTATTATGATCATCTTTGTCCTGATTTTTAACCTCGAAAAACACTTTGATGTGCTTTGGATGCAGCAAACGAATGCTGTGAACGTTTGGCTTATTATGGCATTGCCAAGAATCTAATCACTTATTTCACTAATGAATTGCACGAGACCAATGTTTCCGCGGCTAGACATGTCATGACATGGCAAGGGACTTGTTATATCACTCCTCTTATTGGAGCTTTAATAGCTGATTCTTACTGGGGAAGATATTGGACTATTGCTTGTTTCTCCGGGGTTTATTTCATCGTAAGCATTTTATCGATAAAAAAACTCTGCTTTAGAGCGTAGTAAGCATTTAAACGCGATATTGGTTTGATGAAAATGTTCTTTTGGTTATATTCTTTGGCTTGAATGTTTTGTACTTTGATCTTGTTTTTAGGGAATGGTTGCATTGACACTCTCAGCTTCAGTTCCGGGTTTAAAGCCAGCGGAATGCATTGGCTCTTTATGTCCACCAACAACAACGGTTCAACAAGCGGTTTTATTTTCCGGACTTTACCTTATCGCCATTGGGACTGGAGGCATCAAACCATGTGTTTCATCTTTTGGTGCTGATCAGTTTGATCAGACCGATCCAAGAGAACGAGTTAGAAAATCTTCTTTCTTTAACTGGTTTTACTTCTCCATTAACGTTGGTGCATTTGTTTCATCTGCTCTTCTAGTGTGGGTTCAAGAGAATTGTGGTTGGGAATTAGGATTCATGATACCAACCGTGTTCATGGGAGTCGCTACTGTGAGTTTCTTCTTTGGTACTCCGCTTTATCGGTTTCAGAAACCGAGAGGTAGTCCCATTACTAGAGTTTGCCAAGTTCTTGTAGCCGCGTACCGTAAAATGAACCTCAAGATCCCTGAAGAAAACCGGACATTTTTGTTCGAAACATTGGATTACCRRAAGATTGACCATACASACRGTTTCAAGAAAATCTTTGCACTCTAATTTCTTGTTTTGCATTGTGCATTTGATTGTTCATTGGTCAAATAAACTAGTTTTCGTATCAATGATGCAGGTTTCTTGACAAAGCCGCGATTATCTCGAAAGAAGAAGAAGCGAATTCCGAATCTTTTCACGATCCGTGGAAGCTTTGTACTATGACTCAAGTCGAAGAAGTTAAGATTCTGCTACGTTTGTTTCCCATTTGGGCCTCAGGGATCATATTCTCAGTCCTACATTCACAGATTTACACTCTGTTTGTTCAACAAGGACGGTCCATGAAACGAACAATCGGCTCATTCGAAATCCCTCCCGCTACTCTCGGGATGTTCGACACAGCAAGTGTCCTCATATCCGTCCCAATCTATGACCGTCTCATCGTTCCTTTAGCAAGACGGTTCACAGGCTTACTAAAAGGATTCACTGATCTACAAAGAATGGGGATTGGACTATTCATCTCTGTCTTAAGCTTAACAGTTGCAGCTATAGTTGAGATGGTTCGTTTACGGTTAGCTCGAGATCTTGATCTTGTAGAAAGTGGAGACACTGTCCCATTGACAATCTTCTTACAAATCCCTCAGTACTTCCTTATGGGAACTGCTGGTGTTTTCTTCTTCGTTGGTCGGATCGAGTTTTTCTATGAACAATCACCAGATTCAATGAGAAGTTTGTGTAATGCTTGGGCTCTTCTCACTACAACACTTGGAAACTACTTGAGCTCGATGATCATTACGCTTGTCGCGTGTTTGAGTGGCAAAGATAATGATGATGATGGTTGGATTCCTTCAGATAACCTTAACAATGGTCATCTTGATTACTTCTTCTGGCTTTTGGTTTGTCTTGGTTGTGTTAACTTACCAGTCTTTGTCTTCTTCTCTGTGAAATACACTCACAAGAAAGTTTAA